GAGAGAGAGAGAGAGAGAGAGAGAGAGAGAGAGAGAGAGAGAGAGAGAGAGTGAGAGAGAGTGAGAGAGAGTCAGAGAGAGACAGAGACGGAGCATAGCAAGATTCAGGGGAACAATCTTAAGAATAGTGCAGTAATAACACAGAGTGACAAGGTGATCAGTGAGGGATAGTGTCAATGTTCTTGGCTCTCATCGTAACTTGTTGAAACTGGATTCAAGGACCGGGGTGCCCCATGGTCTGTATTATTCATGAGGGTGGGACATTTCTCTGTCCAGGGAACGCAGATGAGAAACACCAGGCTGCATTCAGATGTCCTTCTGTACGACCTTTGGAGAATGAAACACTTCAGTCATGAGCTAGGCAAATCTTACAGTCTTACAGCAATATATAAAATCATTTATGAAAACCCCCTGGATATGAAATAAGGTTTCTAAGTCTATTAATAAATTCCTGTTGTGTAACTGGTATGTATCACTAAGATTGATTTAGCTTTTGCCGTCTCGTGATGTTCGTATTCTTCTCTGAAACGATAATTAGTACTGTTGAAGCTGTACTAGAGCCGAAAACGAAATTCTTACTCAAATCCAATGCAAGGGCTCCAGCCAAGACTCGGATCTTATTATTATTATATAAATTTTACACAAATTTTTCAGTCTTAACTCGAATAAGCTTGGCTATGAATGCCCATCCCTTTTTGTCGATCGTCGTCTATGATGTAATTATTAGGATCTCCGTCAATGCACGAAAACGACGTGACTTTGATTTCTGTGAGAGAGAAAATAATATTTCTTTTATCAGGCCGTCTTCCTGGTGGGTTGCTGTAGGTTGCTGTATATCCCTTAGCTTGGATTGGCTCTGACAGTCAGGGTAAAAGTTGTCTACCTCGATCGAAAGTTACAGTCAGCTCCGTTGTGAATTGAAGTGTTTTCGTAAAGAATCAAAAGTAGTATCCATAAAGAATAAAAAGAATAAAAATGTCGGTACATCAGAACCTTCTTTTAGTGATAAAGTTCTGTTCCAACGGAAACGAACATAAGCTCAGGATAATGCTTATCAATAGGCGTTTTAATCTGTTTGCCGACATACACCAGCAACAAATATTTAAATAGTGAATAACCAAGCAAACACGTAAGCTGAAGTGACGATGAAAAACACAGTTGGTCGTTCAGGATATGCATGTATGTATAACTTGGTAAATATTGTTCATCAAGGCAGGCCGAAGTAGAAACATGGCCGCCAGCTTCCAAGGTTACCTAGAATAAAAAGCTGTACTCTTTTTGGGGTAGTCACAAATCTGAAAATTGATTCTGAGACCCCAATACACGCACATAGAAAGGGATTTGGACAGAATAAACTTTTACCGTTTCATCAGGGGTAAAATATAATGTCTTTTCTTGGCTTGTATATTTGGTGATTCTATGCCCTTTTTGTTGTCATCGTAATATTGATAAACAATTTAACGATTGAGGAGTCCCGTAAATGTTGTATAAATATCTTAAAGGGGCAAACAATCCCCCTCCCCCGACTTCTAAGTGTTGAAATGGTATCCTTGAGTATTTCCTGAGTCACGAGTCTGTAACGACCTAGAAAAATTAAACACATTAATTGTTCATTCAGAAATTGAATGGGTTACAGAGGCTACTAACATCAACTGGAAATAAATGTATAGACCAAAATGGTCGTTACCATTAAATACATTCAGCA